ACAAATACAGATGTTTTTCAGTGTCAACCACAGTTCTGCCACCACATTTCCCTTCATAATAAACCACGACACACTGTTTCCTCCCATGTTCTACCATATCTAGCTGTTGCTTAAGAAATTGGAGGAAGACACACAGACTGTTCAAGTGACACCAGCTCAGTGAGTTGGCAGATGTTTCTTAAATGCCAGACCCAGGCCGTGCAAAACTACAGTTGCCTCTCTCATAAAGACCCAGCATATTTTCCAGCCACTGTGAATCCTCATTTTACGATGTGGCATTACAACAAAACATTCCTTGTATGGACATCCCAAATCAGAAGCGTGGAAGTGTTGTTTACTGCGTGAAGATTTATTGTAAAACTTGGTTATCTGATCATGCAAACAGTTTTGGAGGTCTAGACCGTCAGAAAATCCTGCGGGTTGAAAACCCAAGGAACGCTTCCTGGTGGTTGTTGCCTTTCCTCTCCTGGCTCTATAATCACAACAGAGCACCGCAGTCTCCCCTGTGCTTTAATTGCTCCCACACAAACAGGGCCACTATGACAGGTCCCTTCCTGTTGCCTGCATTTCTTTCTATTTCTACTTGGCTTCTCACCACAGTCACATAAAAGAGGATGTTCTTTAACTCTGTGGGACACGATAGCTCGCCGCCTCTCTGGATTATCACCCCAGCATCCGTGTCCGTGACGAATCCACTCTCTCATGGTTTACAGGATGTTGAGTTACCTGCCGCAGTGATCACAGCGTGTAGTTTTCAACAGATATCTTTTCTTCGAGGTTGCCGTGACAGCACAAACATGAAGTACACTCTGCTGTCATGAAACAAAGGCTGCATTCAATTTTGAAACTCCAAACTGCAATCAGCCATGGATCATTTCGCTTTACGTACAGCACATGTTTAGAGATGGATGTGCAGTCATCAGGCCAACTGTGACAACACCAGACTACCTCTGCCGATTTCACTTCAATCTATGGCTGCAACTTTAGCTTATGTTATTATTGATTGATCACTTAATATTAAAATGTCTAAAACATAGTAAAAAGACTCGTGCATATGTTTTTTTCAACTATTCAATGAAGAATGGAAAATTCATCATCAAGACAGGGTCTTTAATTGTATGTCTAATGCGCATTGAGACAAAAAAAAAGCAGCAAATTTGTAAAGGAGCATTCTGCCAATTTTACACAAAAGGATCAGTTTATGCAGAAAGTTGTAAACAGACTTCTGTCTCCGAGGAGAATATCTCGGTCTCTTTATCTTCCACTTTCTCTCATAACTACGTAAAGAAACAAAAATACAACACTGAAGTGCAGCAAGATTAAACAAATACAACAAGACTTCTATGAAAGTTAGGGGAAGGATGGGACTGGAGCCAACAGAGACCCCATTACATTTTGGCACAGATCCGGACGACAGGTCGGATAAACAAATTTTCTTTTGTGAGAGTTGTGTTTTAACTTTATCGCTGATTACACTGAATAATTCATGGATCTTGATGAGAGGGTTGGGGTTAGGCATAGTTAGAGGACCGATACGAGGGTTTGCATTTTGGTGCAGCTTTTCTGAATTTAAGGAGGCTGTTGGCGAGGGCACACCGTTCTAATTTAGTTTTTTTATTCTTTAATCAACACATTTTTTTAAGAAAGATTTTGATCGTCTTGCTCTTTTTCATTCATTTACTTCCCAGCTCATTCAGCAGCATGAGAGTAATGCCTCCTGCCCTTCTTCAGCAAAGAGAGCAACTCGCTGTTTAATATTGAATGACTTCTGTCATTTCATGGCAACAAAAGGCTTTTGTGCTGCTTCCGCTCGACTGCTTCACACAAATACCCAACATCTAAGAGGAGAGAAAGCCTCAGCTCTCCAGACGCCACCTTGACCTTTTTGGCTGAGCCCACTGTCCAATCGCATGGATCAGGGTGGATTGAATCACCACTGGTCCGCAAGCCAACCAATAGGGCACCATGGGTCAAAGCTCAAAGTCAAAGGCACGGCACTGGGGACTGCTGTGAGGTCGGAAGGGTGGTGTAAGGCCCACCTGCGTCCATACATAATAGAAAGCCCAACGGTCACCAACCCACAAACCCTGCCACCTTTGTAGCTTTTGTTCAGTTTCAGCCTCTCTGCCTGCGAAAGGAAGGCAACAGCAAAAAGGACAAACCCACGCAAGATAAGACAAATAAGAGTGTAGACTCCCTATCTTTGCACTGAGGAGGACAGTTTTATTACTCCACTATCTTTATTTCATCCCTCAGCGTAAACAGAATGTATACTGTAAATCTACAACAAGATGCTGGAGCCAAAGTAATGATGTCCACACATACTTCCGTCTCCGGAGAGAGGCAATGTCAGCGTGGAAGAATGCATTTAAACTCATGACTAACAAGCCACATGTGGTCCAGAGGATTTCTTCATCACACACACACACACACACACACACACACACACACACACACACACGACAACAAAAACAGTTGTGCTCCTCCTTTTGTTTTTTATTTTGATAAATCGCTGTTCGTGACATCCAGTCTGGAGAGGTTGCACAACACCATGCTGTGAAAAAAAAACTCAGATAAAAGTTGGACACCCTACAAAGACGTCATATGAAGGTTATGAGTCTGTAAACACTTTGTCTCGGTGAATATATTTAATGACTCTCACCTCTCACCATGATAGAGCAGGTGCACTGGAGATGTGAACGTGTTATTGGTCTACGTTGCCACAGAATTGCAGGCTTGAGCCAAATGTTTGCATGAGATTGAAAGCAGAGCACAGATGAGACGATGTATCCGAAGGTGTCCAGAGGAATCTTTGGTTCGTCTCTCGGTGAATAAACTTGTGTCCGTGAGACACAACCCTGCTGCAGCCTGCTGTCTCAGCACCAGGCTTAACCCCGGCCTTCCATTGAGTTGATATTGTTGATATTTGAGCAAATTAACAAATATACATAAACATGTTTAACTGTCATTAGCTCAAATAGCTACAGCAAAGCTAAACGTTCACACTCTCCATCTTTGTAATCTTCAAGAGAAAGTCTCACTAAAGATTTCGGGACCCAGTTAAAAAGCTTAATTGGACCTTGAGATCTTTAATATGAAAAATGCAGATAACAGCTAGAAAATCCTCTGTAGCTGTTTCACATTATGTAGCTTGGAGGAACACTTAACTTGATAATGGCCACTTCCTCTCGCACCTCTCGCCGTTCTCACAGACTTATGGTAGATAACTTAAGAAGCTGCGGTTCCCTCGATTGCTCGTTTTGCTGCCCTCGGTGGTTTGACTCGACCGCTTGAGATTCTTTCTGCCTGTATGAGCTATAAAGTTCAGTTGTAAAACTCAAGTCAAGCTCGGACCGTCTAATTAATGTTGTTAAACGACAGCTGTTATGTTATAGTGTAAAAACGAGGGAGGGTATTGTGGTCTGAGAAGGTTTCCTGAAACTGTCTTCATGGACTTATTTTGGGGGAAGATGGATTAAAATAGATTGGATTGGAGTTTGAGCCCTGCGTGTTTTTAATTAGCTGTAAACGAGGATTTGACCCGTTGGTGGTTCGCAGTCTGAGTAAGGACGTTAGTGTCTGCAGCCTTTTCAGGGAAGGATGAATCTCTGCACGCTCTCTGCGATGCCATCTCCTCGGCTTTGAAGCATTAAACTGATGCAATCTCTCTTTTCGAAGTTTTATTATTAATCGCACATCTGCTTGACAGGACACCTTCACTTGTAATTTTGTTTGTGGCCGGTCAGGTAAAACAGGATCATCGCGCCTCTGATGATCCAAACTTTCCAAAACACCCTCAGTGCTCTCACTTGAAGACATTAACTGTATTATTACCTAAAGATGGCAAACAGAGAGTGAAGAGTCGTGGGAAACTCGCCCTGTGCCTGAAGTGGTTAACTTCTCTTTATTTAAAGTTAAACACTCCAGGCTTTAACGTGGCGAATGCACCGAACGGCGGCCTGTGATCAGAGCGAAGGGGGGGGGCCTCAGAAAAGCCACTTTCCTCGAGATAATAGGCCCCAGCCTCAAAAGCGTACGTCGCACAATAATGAAAATGTGACTTTAGCCTGAGGCATTGAAGCAAAGCAACCTGTTTGTTGATTAGAGGAGGGAACACAAAGAAAGCTCAGAGAGGATCAGCGGAGGGGAGGAAATGGAGGGTGTGGATCCACTTCGCCCCCCCCCCCCCAACACCCCCTGCTCTCAGCGCAGATTGGAAAAGTGATAAATATGCATGAGTTTGACTTCGACAGTGAAGTTCTTTGATGGTACGGTGGAGAGTTCTCTACCTCTGGAGCAAATAGGCTGAAAATAACTGTCTGAGAATGTTTACTCGTGTGTACGAACAATGTCCGCTTTTAATGAGGAGAAGAGACTTTTACACTTTACAGTTTCTTTTCCCAACAACTGCTCCACAGCCACAGGAAGTGAATAAATAAACCAATAAATCATTGTGAGGTCAATTTCAGGGGCCATTTATTTTGTGTTGATTATGTGTCATCTCCATTTCTACCGGATCAACAATGCAGCCTGGGAGTTTTCAAACGGGACCAGCAGCATTTCAAACTAAAGTATAAGAGCGTGGATGTAGCTGAGCTTGATCTCCAAACTGGTCTGAATAACAAGTATTTTCCTAATTGTTCGAGAGGGATAAATGTTATATATACCAATAATATATACTGTATATAATAATGATAATAATCTGTATTATACTTACACGCCTTGCACCCATAATGTATATTTGCAGCAGTCGACCTCCCATGTAAGAGCCGAGGAATGTTTTAAAAACCAGCCACCAAATCCTTTAAGTCACAAAACAGTTTCCTGTGAGTTTTCTTTTCAGATCTCTTGGCGCAGTTTGACAATCTCTTATTTTGATCAAGGAGAGATTAATGGCGGCTTGAGTGGGATTCTTCTCTCAGGTTTAATTTGGCAGAAACAAGAGGAGAACGCCTCTCGCCCTCAGTGTGAATAGAAGCTCATTTGTGTTTTTCTCTCAGACCTGCAGGCCTCCCAGTCCTTTGAACACTACAGCATATCGGACAAGGCCATGGACTACAGGATCCTGCAGATGGACGAGGACCAGGACAGGATGTACGTGGGCTGTAAGGACCACGTCCTCTCCATGGACATCAACAACATCACCCATGGCTCCCTGAAGGTCAGCTTATTGTTATATTCGGATACAACGCTGGCAGCCTGCAAATCTTTCGGTTTTTAAACCTATCAGCGTGTGCGGCACATTATCAAACAGCCAGAGAACATATTATTATAATCTGACGGATCGTATGCAAATGATCGTGCATTTTCCATCATCAGAACAATTTGCAGGGTGTTCAGAAGAGCCGTGTAAACGCTGGAGCTCTCTGGTGCCTGGTTGTGTTTTTGCAGTGAAGGAGTTATCTGCAGTGTAATTGACAGCAATGAAATGCATAAACAGATGGAAAAGCATTTAGGATTCCCCAGGGGGAGAGCTCCACCGCATCCATTTTCCTCAGTAAATTGCTTGATATATTCATTGAGCTGGACCTTCCAGCACCTCTGCCGCTTTAAAAAAAATACATTTCCGCAGCCCACAGTCGGCTTCTATCAAAACAGAAACTTTTACAACATTTGTTTCATTAACTGACAACAGAGTAAATCATCAAACCTCGATGTGCTGCTGCTTAACGTCCGAGCTTGTTTCCCCACTTGTTAGTGTAAATGTTCTGTTCTTTTGCCACCAGGTGTTTTGGCCGGCGTCCACCAGCAAGATAGAGGAATGTCAAATGGCAGGAAAGGACCCAACGGTAAGAACAGACTTTCAATAACCACTCAGACTGGATCCATCCATTATCTTTCCATTCTTCCCAATTCATTACACCACTTATCCTTAAAGGGTTGCTGGGAGGCTCCAGCCCATCCCACTTGACCCTGGACTCTCTGCTTAATAATTAACAAAAATACCTAGTGATTAGAGGTGTAAATGTTGTACTGCTAAATAAATAAGTACCCAGTAATAAAAGTTTTATAAAAGTAGTAGAGATAATGATTTATAACATTTTCAAGTTCAACTGTTTAACGCCTGACTGATCTACGTTTATCTTTACCAATGAGAAAACTTTAACACAACAATCCAGTACAGATGAGCATTTATTTTTTATTTTTGCGAAACATGTAGTACTTGATACAGGTATTTAGTTGTATTTGTGTTTTCCTTTTATTTATACTTATTCATCATCATCAAAATATTAGCTACATTTCTTTGTTGGAAGAGTTTGACATTTAAAACACCTTCCACTTCACTGCATAATGTGTGAATACATTATAAATACATCAAACATTAAAGCTTCAATAAAAGAAAGAAAAAAACAACTAAAAACACTGAAACACAGTACTTTGCATACTTTGTTATGTTGAGAAGAAATAACAGATTCTTCCTCTTACAAATGAAAAACTGATATCATAACAACCCGACCGGTAAGAAAACGAGGCCTCGTGTTGTTGTTTTTTGCCACCATGGTCCGGATGTAGACGAAAGGTTTTGCCAGTTGTTCCCAGATCCGTTCCCCCAAGTGGGTCCACCATGGGGAGGCGTTGTGTGTGCGTGCACCTCCTGGGATTTCCCTCGTCCCATCTGTGAGCCTGTGTCAGATCCAGCCACATGTGCGGCACAGGCTGCAGATGTCCGCAGGCCGGGGTCCTCCTGGCATCAGCGCGGTTCGTCAGGATCGGAGTGTGGCGTGGGAGGATCGAGGGTAGAAAAAACAAACCAGGATCGAAGCTTGCAAACAGGACACAGCTCACTGACGAGGAGATTTCGCAACCCGGCCTGATTCTGAGCTGCACTTGTTAGCTGCAGCAAGATTTAATGAAGCTACACAGCGGGACTCAGATTCCTCCACCGTCCTCTGTTTTCCTCTAATTGGGTTGTTCCGAAACACGCGCAGCTGCCTATAGACGCTGCAGCGCAGAGGACGGGGGAATAGCAGGATAGAATAAGGGGTTTTATTTTTAGAGGAGCAACATCTTCGTATGCATCGACGGCCTCATTTCTAAAGCTAACAGAAGAAGTTTCTCACTGTACGACACCGGCGCTGCCTGTGACAGCAGCTGTGGTAATAGAGCCACACTGTTGCAGAACTAGAGAAGAAGCTGTTTCCAGTCAATGAGTGATTTGTGCTGCTCTGAGTCACCGTCCGCCTGCTGCAGACAGACTCCCACAAATATTTGGGTGAGCCATCTCCATGTGGAGCCTCTCAATGGCCCCGTTCCCCTTCTGTCATCCCGTCTCCTGCACGCGGCTCCGTCAGATTCGTGTCTAAAGAATCCAGTTTTTGTATTAAAACCTTTCTCGGGCCACTTTTATTAGTTTTCTCAAGCTGCTTTCAGACTCGGAACTCCTGAAATGTTCCAGAGGGGGGCTGTATCTGAGAAAGCAAATGTCAGACTCGGTTGCTCCGGACATTCCCTGGAACCTTTTATACCAGCCCCCTCGTAAAATGTCTGGAAAATATCTGAGTGGATTCGGAGGATTCGCTACAACTAACTGATCAAGTTGACGACGTTTCAGAATGCAAATATTGTAGGATGATGATGTGAACACAATCTCCTGCTGTCTTCTTCATATGTAAAAGGAAAACGTCATGTATTGTCCCTTTCCTCAGAGTTTATGTCTGCAATCAGCTTCCGGAGTATTTCTTTTTCTCTCCTCCATTATGCAAGTTTCTTCATTTCAGTCCGAGCCCTCCATCCTTCTGTTATTCTTACCCTCCTCGTCTGTTTATATAAAGTTCCTCTTTGCCGATAAAATCTGTGCCAAGCTCCAGGGAGCGGCCGCACATTGTTTGCTACTCAGGGTAGAAAAAGGTTGATCAAGTGTATTTACTGCTCGCTCAAAAGCTTCCACTTGAAAGTCGGCATGATCGCCACTTGAACCCGAGGCCACGAGTCTGGATGCTGTTTATCTGGTGCAGTCGTGTGTGTGTGGATAAGAAACGTGAGAGGAAAAGAAAGCAGGATGCGACTTTACGCAGGTATCTGTGAGGCTAACATCAGATATGGAGTGAAGGCCCGAGAGATGTGACGAGATGGATCAGTGACGGATGGAGGGAGGGAGATACAGAAGAGGGAGATAAATAACGCAGAAGGGTGTGTGACACTTGAAGTTCTCTTGTTTTTCCTCGATGGCTCTCAGCGGAGCAGCGCAGACCGTGAGCTGCAGCAGCTGCCATTCCAGCAGCCACGGCCAAGTTCCTGACTACTCCCTGGACATGTCTTCCTCTCCTCCCCGCCTCTTCCCTCGCTCTCTCTTCCTTTATCCACTCGTTTTCCGTCGGCTTAATTAGCTCCTTTAAGTCCTGCACTCCGTCTTCTGCTGCAGGTTTGGGGAAGTGGAAGCAGGAGATCAGGAATCTGTCTCACCTACACGTCACATTCAGTAAAACACCGACACTGTTTTTCCACTGGCCTTGATTCCAGACCAATGAGATCTGGGAACATTCGCGATTGTGTGACCGTCATAACAAGTGAGAAGTTTAAATGACTTCATCGTATGAAAAACGATACTGCAGGAGAGATAAACAGGTTCTGGATCTCACCTTGGGTGCAAACCAGGAAACAGACTTTATCCTCTGCTATGTCCGCTGCGGTGCTGAGATTTAGATAATACTTTGCTTTTTATGGTGCCTCAACGACTGCAGCGGAATAGATCGGAGCATGTGTTATTCATATATTTAACTTTTTTTAACTTGTGATAACATTAAAGCAACAAGTGTTTGCTGAACAGTGGCCACGAGTGAAGATTATGAGAAACATCTGGATAAATTGTTTAAAGTGTTGTAGCTGCAGCTCAAACGAAGATGAGGCAGAAAACCTGATGCACGTTTTGAAGCATCAGCGGTCAGGTCAGGTCTGAGTTGTAGTGATTAAGGAACGGAGCCGCGGCCGATACACGCGCTCGACCAATTTCACACCGTTATTGCATCAAAAAATGAAATAGCAGAAAGTTCTCTTGAACAATCGTCTTCAAAAAACAAAAGTTTGACGTTTACTTTGACTTTTTAGTTCTGTCCATCTCTTGTCATGGAGGGCATACTGCGGCCAGCCACCAGGGGGCAATCGACACTTTGGCTTCCCTTTTTCTACAAGTTACAATAAAATGTTTCTTTAAAGTGCGACGGAAATCCTCGTCGTGTAAAACATCCATCCCAACACACATTTAACATTTAGCTGTTATTATATTTTAATTCATCTGTGTTTTTCAGCACGGCTGTGGGAACTTCATCCGGGTGGTGCAACCTTACAACAGAACTCATCTGTTCATGTGCGGCAGCGGAGCGTACAGTCCCGTCTGCGTTTACATGAACAGGGGACGAAGACCAGAGGTGAGCGCACGAGGACACGTTCACTGTCATAGACGAAACACACTGTAGAGGGGACGAAGGACGATGTGGGAACACTTATAAGATACTTATAAGACGACACATGAATATCATCTCAATAAATACGAATATTTAGCCACTTTAATTATTATTATTATTAGAATTTATACATATTTTAAGAATGTGGTGGAATTAGAAGTTGATGCTAAAAATAGCAAATTAATCATAAAAAAAAACATCCGTAATGAATGTGGGTGAGAAATATGTTGAGAGAAATCTGATTTATTTGAAAGTTTCAGCAAAATGTAATTTGTATAAAGCGTCTCCATCATTCAGAATCACAAAGTACTGGACGTATGTGAAGTGGATGACAAGCAGCATATTTTATCTTAAACTAAATATCTTAAATTAAATTCTTTTAGGGAATATTCGATATGAAAAGGACAAAGTAAAAGACTTCAGAACTTTATGTGAGCAAAGTTCAGCTCCTGTGATCGGTTGGATGACACATTAGAGGAGATGCTCAGGATTAAAGGGAGTAACAGTTCTCGTGGCAGCGATGGACGGCAGATTCCGAGGCGCTACGCTCTCGTCTCCGGCCACACGGCTCTGGAGGGGAGTGCAGGGAAGCCCTCCAGGAGAAAAGTGCTCACCGAGTGAACAACATTTAGCCGCAGACGGCCGACTGCTGCCAAACACTAATAAGCCAAGTGGGAGAGCTCCCAACCAGGCTCTTTCCGCATTGCGGGGCCTTTTGTCATTTGGGAGTTTTGTTTGAAAGGCAGACTGCTCTGTTTGCAATTTCTAGGCTCAAACATGTCAGCGTCTGAAGAGAAGGGATCTGTTAAGTGTAACAAGCTGCCGCAGTGAGAAGTTGACTCTGAGCTCACAGTTTGCACCTTTGCCCCCGAGAACGTGCCGCAGACTATCATGTTGTTGCGGAACCTGATAGGACGACTGCAGCCGACACCTCATTCGCATGTGTCAGTGTTTTTGTGTTGTGATGTTGTGTCTGACTTTAGCAAAGTGAAACATACATGTGCACTTCAATAAAACACCGCTCTCACTTGACTTTAGTAGAATTCTTCTTCTTCTTCTGCTTTTTTTAAGGAAGTATTTATCTACGGAAGAGAATTAGAAAAAAATAGAAAAAGCCAAAAATAGAAGATCCGGTTTGCTGCTATCATCAGTCCCAGTGGAGTATTATCTTGACTTCCAGACATGATTTATAAATGCCCGTATTTGTATAATTTGTCTGATATGGTTTTTCTACAAAGGTTCTATGAGCTACTTGCAAACTCTTAACGGTGCAAGTATGCAGTTAAATGTGAAAAGGTCCTTCTAGTGTCAGATCTCTACATAAATGATTCTGCTCAGGGAAGTAATAATAACAAAAGGGCTTCAAGATTTACTGCATTGTTAAATAACTCTCTGTATATCAGAGGTTAATGACAGAAGCTACCATTTCCAGAATTGTTGGCAAACAACAACATTTTCCTGTGAAAGATTCTCTTCACCTCACGTCACTGGTGCTGAAAAAAAGCAGGAGCATCATAGATCGGGAGGATTTTTTTAATTCACCCAGTTTATTCTAAAACGGGCTCAGACTGTTTATTTCGCCGCCATGAGGACAGGCGGTGGGAGGAGGGGGTTGAAACTTGGCAGCATATTTCCACCTGAGATGGAGGAATGACTATCCAACACATTAGCGGGGAAATTCCTCCTCTGCTCCCTCAAGGAATGTTCTTTTTACTGTCCCACATGGACCAGTTACCGTACACCAGACCTGCACCGCTTTTGTTCCTCCCTAAAACCAAAAGGGATGGAAATGTGAGCAGGGCCAAGCTATGGGACATTTGCTGCGCTCATAACATGCGGTTTTACTGTGGCAGAGGCCACTAGACGGACTAACGAATCATATAAAACTGTCTTCGAAGCCTCTGACTTCCTCTTTTCTCTGCGACAGGAACAAGTATTCCACATCGACTCGAAGACCGAATCTGGAAAAGGGAGGTGCTCCTTCAACCCTCAAGTGAATACAGTCTCCGTCATGCTCAGTAGGTGCCTCCTTCCTCTTCCTCTTGAAATCCCCTGAATAAAATAAATCTTATCTTCAAAATGGAGACACTTAACTTTAGTTTTCATCCTCTGCACTGACAGAATATAAATATTTGATTGTTGTCTTTTTAGACCATCCTCTGTATATAAAGATGGACGACATGACGGCTCCTCAAAGATTGAGCCCAAGTGTCTCGATCGCCCTCTGGTGGCTGGCTGCAGTATGGGTCATAAACCCCATCTCATCCATGTTAGTAGATGGGACACAGGCTGAACAAAAAAAGTCAAATAAAATGGTTTCTGTCTTTTTAGAGAGGGTTCAGATGCACACCAAACATTCAAGCTGAAACCTCAAGCTCAACCCCTCCCCCCTCCCCAATTCTCCTTCCTTTTGATCTCTGATCGGCGGGGGGAGTGTTGGGTTGCCGTCGACACGTCCAAAAGGTGACACATTGCACCCTCAGCTCCGCTTCCCGACACCTGAACCAGAGCGCTGCCGTGTCAGCAGCGGCTCTGCCAGCGAGCGAGAGCACCCTCGGGGGTGCCCATGAGGGGGCGAGAGCCGGGGGAGGGTGGTGGATTAACCTAAAGGGCGGAGGAAGGAAGAAAGGTGCTCAGAGTTAATGACGCAACACTCCACGCCTCCCGAGCACAATCAGAGTCAGAGTCTGCTCCTGATGAAAATCTCTGCTTCATCTCCCCTCAGTCCTTACGTAGTGGAGCCTCTGCGGCCGCCCGAGTGCTGTCGACACTCACCCCTTAGCAAGCCAGGTTGGATGAGGGCCACATTCCTCCAATCCTCTCCTAACTTAACCCACATCCTCCCAGAACACATGGGCTGGAACACATGGATGGTGTGAGAAGTGAAAGTAAAGGAATGATGGAAAGCCTGAAGCGATATTAGTAGCAGACGCAAACCTGTTGTGAACCCCAACTTAAATATTCACTGTAGAGTGTTGCTGTATTTTATTTTAGTTCAGCAAAGCAGTTTTCTTGGAGAATATTGTTGATTTTGTTGGTGTGTGTGTGTCTGTGTGTGTCTGTGTGTGTGTGTGTGTGTGTCTGTGTGTGTATCTGTGTCTGTCTGCATTCCTCCAGACCAGGAGCTGTTCTCAGGCATGTACATTGACTTCATGGGGACAGATGCTGCCATCTTCAGGAGCCTGACCAGGCGAAATGCAGTGCGGACAGACCAGCACAACTCTAAATGGCTTAGTGGTGAGTACACACACACACACACACACATTGTCCGTACTGTATATGAATACTTTCACACAAATACCTCGTTTTAAAGAAACATTTGATGATGTTTCAGTTTTTCAGTTTGAGGAAAGTTATGTTTTTTCTGAAAACTCAAGCATGTGAACCTTTTCAAGTAATAACCCAAATTAAGATCATGAAACTTTGCACAATATGTCTCCTTTCGTTTATTTATAACAGCTGTAAACAAATGTCTTTCACTCAGAGCCCATCTTCATCGACGCCCACCTGATACCAGACGGAACAGACCCCAACGACGCCAAACTGTACTTCTTCTTCCGCGAGAGGCTGACGGACAATAACGGAAATACTAAAAACATCCACACGATGGTGGCCAGAGTGTGTCCAGTAAGTGCGTCCGTCTGTGCCTAGATAAATCAGCGCTGTTTGTTTTGCGGCCTCGAGTTTCCATGCGCAGCTCTGTGTCTTCAGAATGACATCGGAGGACAGCGGAGTCTGGTGAACAAATGGACGACGTTCCTCAAAGCCAGGATGGTGTGCTCGGTTCTGGAGGAGGACGGCACTGAAACACACTTTGATGAACTTGGTGAGTGGAGCGCCACATTTAGATTTTATGCATTTCCTCCAGTTGTTGTGCAACTCTTCCGAGCTCAACGAAATCAATTTAAAACAAAAAAACATGTGGACAAGAACCAGAGACCAAGCTAAGTCCCTAAAATCTTACTATTTATGTTCCTCGGTTTCCAGTGATTTCTTTCTCCGCAGAAAATCCACAACGCTTCCTCTGTTTGGTCTGGATTAGGAGGATTTTAATAACCACGGCTCTGTTGCTTTTGGTTTCCTCGTGTTCCTCCACTACTCTTTTAGCCTCAGCTTTTAAAAACATCAACTCACAGATCTTGAGACCTTCTTTTCCAATCAGACTCCATCTGTCAGCGCATGCACTTATTAATTCCCGCGCTCACTTCTCACCTATCTTAGCCTAACAGTGTCGAGGTGATGAGGGAATTTGTTGAAAGTATTACACACTCTTCTCTCAACATTGGTGCATTTGTCTGCGTGCGCACATGTGTGTTCTCCCTTTTGCAGAAAACGTGTTTTTGCTGGAAACCGATCAGCCCAAGGGTCTGCTGGTTTTCGGAGTCTTCACGTCCACGAGGTAGGATCCGCGGCAGCGAGGCCAACTGTAACATTCCAGCAGGCTTTGGTGGTTATGTTAATCACTGACTGGATACCAGCAGGAGGGGCTGTGCCTGTCAAAGGGCCTGATGTCATGTTTCAAACCAGCTTCTTCATATGATCAACTATCCTTTACAGCGTGGCTTCACCATATGGTCCTCGTTCTGATCCCCCAGGATCCCATGCGGCGGTGCAGCATTTTGCTGATCGTGTGCACATCCGTACAGAATGTGTGTAACGGCTGGTTAATATGAGCCACCAGGGTTTTTGAGAGCAGCAGGAATTTTATAGCTGCATCTTTTTAAGTAGCTGAAACCTGATGCGCGTACATTTTATCTTTAAAATTAAATAACGCATATGGAGACCAAATGTTTTGTTCGTCCATGCATCTGTTTGTAAGCCTGGGTTCCTTCAGTTCATCTTTTTCTTCCCTGAACCTGTGAGCGCGTCTGTTTTTCTGTCGCCACCTTTTGTTGTGACAGTAGTTTAATTCCTTCTGACGCTGCCACGGTTCCTCGATCCACTTGTTACCTCACGATCATAGAAAACCTCAAAGATCAAAACCAAACCAAACAGCGAGTTCCTTCATTTCTCTTTATCTCCTCATCGTGTTTCTTCCTCCTCTCCTCTCCACTTCACACAATATCCCTGTGTTTCCTCAAAGCCTCTTTCATGTGTTAAGTCGTGCGGTTTTAAACGACTCGGCCAAAACCACATCAGATCGTTGAGGGGGAAGTAGATGAGCTGTCCCCGGCTCCACCCTGACAGTGTGACTCGCACATCCTCAGAAGCTGTTAAACAAACAGCAACCGTTGTGAGCGCAGGTTCCCACTGTTGTGTTTTATTCATATTGTGAATCTTTTGTCCTCAGCTCCGTGTTTAAAGGCTCGGCAGTGTGTGTGTACAACATGGCCGACATCCTCACCGTCTTCAACGGGCCCTTCGCTCACAGAGAGGGGCCCAATTTCCAGTGGGTGGCGTTCCAGGGACGCATCCCTTACCCACGGCCTGGAACTGTGAGTTTGCTTTAGAGTCATCAAATAGTTTATCAATGTATTGATATTTATCAGTGATCAAACGTAATTGTTGGTTTGATCAATGATAAAATATTTAACGATAAAAACGCTACCTCTGTTTCTCCAGTGCCCCGGCGGAGCTTTCACACCCGACATTCATACAACTAAGGAGTTCCCAGACGACGTGGTGACCTTCGTGCGAAACCATCCAGTTATGTTCAACGCCATCTACCCGGTGGGGAGGAGACCCCTGGTGGTCCGCACCAACGCTGACTACAAATACACATCGGTGGCTGTGGACCAGGTTATGGCTGCCGACGGCAACTACCACGTGCTCTTCCTGGGCACAGGTAAGAAAACTTGTGTGTGTTAAAATACAAACCAGTCAGAGAGGTGTGTTCTGTTGTCACTGCTGGTTTGCTTGTCTGTTTGTAAGAGTTACTCAAAAACTGATTTCCATGAAATGTGAACGAAGCTACAGGCATGATCCAAGGAAGAACCAAATAAAATGTGCAGGAGATCTGGATAAATAAAGATTTGTTTTCCCCGGACGACGTCAGGCGTTGCTGCACTTCAAGGTCTTTGTAGTTTGACTTGTTTTTGGAAACTTAGATGAAACGAGATATTTTCATTCTTTTGATTGTTAAAATTCACTGGTAACTGGAAAACAAGTAAAAGGATCTCCCTCCACCCAAAGTCCAGCTATTGTTTGACTTCGTTTGCTCCTTCTAAGAAAAACATTAGATCCTTATATCACAAATCCATCATGGCAACAGCACACTGGAGTAATAACCGTCCACCGAGGTCACAGTCACTGTAATCCTGTAACAAGGCGGGGGGGGCATCAGTGACCTGGAGACAAAGACAACCACATGGTCCTTTTCCCTGAGGTGTTTCAGAGGTAAATGATTGTTGAGGCTTCCCGACGACACAGTTGATTACGAGAGAAACAGATAACAGAGGGGATAGTACACAGTGGGTGTGGCAGACACACTGAAAACAGATGTGACAACATGTAGCACAAATTATGCAAAGATTGGGTCATAGACAGGACGACGAGACAAGGTCCTTCAAGACAGAGCTTTGACCCCTTTAAGGTCGATTTTTATTAACTCAGGTGGAAGTGGGTGGAGATAATTTATACTAGATGTTAAACGATACTTAAACGGCTTTTCGGAATATCATGATCTCTCCTGGAAGATTTTGAAAGATGGATTACGGGAATAAATGTTGCTCCTCAGACGTTTCCAACAGACGTACACCTGTTTTACAACACTGGTTAATGTGTCATAATATGTGTGCGTGTGTACTTATTATCATTTGTGCTCGTGCATGTCCACGTGTGCACATGTTTGCGTTAATCGAGTGGCTCTGGGACTCTCTCTCTCTCTCTCACACAGCTGCCTGTGTTTATCAGGCAGCTCCTCTGTTCTTCCCGGATTCTTGACGCAGAGCCAGTGCTACGTTACTTCATCTGGGCCAGAAATGAGGCTTTTGGCTCAAAGACGAGGAAGACGCTCTTATCAGGCGTTTCCATGAGCGCTTACT